TTATTTCACTTAGCATAATACTCCCTAGTTCCATGCACCTCGTCGCAAATGGCAAGATTTCATTCTTTTTTATGGCTGGGTTATATTCCCTTGTCTATATCTACCACATCTTCTCAAAGTAAATAATATTTTAATGCAATGTTTCAAAGCTGATGATAGGCAAAATGTCAAAATTTTAAGTAGAGATAGGATTAGTATAAAAAGAGCCACCAATATCATTTCCTGTATTGTTTTCTATGTGCCAGTGAGCAGCCCCACTGATCTGGAGACTGATGGTTCCAATTCTAAATCCCAGAGAAGGGCTCTGATTAGCTCAGCTTGGGGTTAGTCTTGATTAGCGAAGGCCTGGTGGTGCGAGGTGCTTGGTTGCCAACAGAACCTTGTGGGAGGCTGGGCAGGCACAATACCAGGTGTCCACTCTACAGAAGTACCAAGTTCATGCATATGAGGAGACCGACTGGGGTCTGGTGAGATAAGGAACTTGACACTTGGTCTTTCTTTCTCCCAACCTTAAGGTTTCTCCTTAGATACCACCACTGAACTTACCAATCACAGAAGGGGAGAGTTGAGCCCACTTGAACAGGGAATTCAATGTCAACCAACCAATGAGTTAGTGCCAGCCATGTATAAGGCCCAGGAGACAAGTACTTGGCATTTTTGGTCAGGATAATATCTGATGAGGGCAAGTAGATGCTATCCCTCAGACAGGAAACCAGAGGGGCTTTGATGTTGGGGAGAGGTTGATTTTGTGAACTGCTGATTACTCTTTATACAGTGGACCAAAGAGTAGGAGGTTCCCTTTTGTTCCTTTGGGAACTCTGGCACCTTTCCAATAACCTTCAAACCACAGCCAGAACCATCTTTTTAAAATGCAAATCTCATCATGCCAGTCTCTTGCTTTAAAATGTTCTGTGGACTCCCACTGATTTTAGGATAGAGACCAATATTCCTTTTTTTTTTTTAAAGTAATTTCTCTGCCCAGTGTGTTGTTCAAACTCATGACCCTGACATTAAGAGTCACAAGGTCCACTGACTGAGCCAGCCAGGTGCCCTGAGACCTATATTCTTAATACTGCTTATGTGGTCTGCCCTCTGGCCTCTAATAGGCCCCTGCTTCTTTCTGCCTTAGGACGTCTGCACAGGCTATTGACTCTGCCCAGGGTACCTCCCAACAACTCTTCCCCCTACTCACTCCCCCAGGTAATAATTACCTTTTAGAGATCAGCGCAGATGTTCCATTCTCTGGGAAAACCATTCCCTGATTACACAGGATGAGCCAAGTCCTCTGCTGTATTAAAACAATAATCGTAAATAACAATAAAACAACAACAATAGTAACAGCTAACATCATGTGACAGGTAGCTTCTGAGAATTTCAATTTGCTTAATCCTCACAACAATAGTATGAGGGAGGTGTTACTATTTTTAGGATGAGGAAACTGTGCTTAGAGTCCATTGCATTTATCACAATTATGATGAAAGAATGAATTATATGGGCCCTGGCAGTGGCCAGGATGGGGCTGAGGGCAGCCTTTTGTTTAGAAGGAAAGGGCTAGGAGTTGGTCTTGAGGCTGTATTTGTGAAGCAGAGCACCCTGTGCTCTGGGTGGTGTGCTTGCTTGAGATGGCTTTGAGAAGAGATCAGTGATGATTGTGAAGGCTAAAATACTCTCAAGCCACTCCATGCAGCCCTATGAAAGGAGGAACTCACGTATTAGCTATTGTTTCCTCGGAACTCAGCTCTGGGCCTTATATAAAAAAGTAGTTTCTCAATTAATATTTGTTTTATGAATCATTCAAAAAAATCTCCAAAACTTTGGAGGTATTTTTGAGCAAGCTACATCTGAATTCTATCCTAAAGGTATAGCACTGATGATGGGGGTTGTTCCCCAGGGGTTTAATTTGATCTTGGGTTAACTGGTGGATGCCCAGGACTTGAAGTAGAGACATGTATGGACCCCGTTTAGGGAACAGGTGAGCCAAGGGAGCAGATGTCCGACCTCAGGAGTGCTGGTCCCTAAAGTGAGAAAAGGCTGGGAGGAGCATTCTGCCCCAAGTGGAAGTAGAGATCAGAGTCTCATGCTCTTTACACAGGTGATCACAAAGGCTCATTTGTGGAGGGGAATGTGTTACCTTTATAGTTTGGGGATTATGCATATGGGAGGCTGAGATGAGTACATTCTAGAACTCATAGAATAGTCTGGTCCTGTGATGCCTTTGGGCTCAGAAAGGGACCTTGAATGTAATCACTCTTAATTCACAGAGAAAGAACTACCTCATATGCTTCCAGTCCCATATAGCACTACCCTTTGGGCTTGTGTGATTATATCTCTAGTGGGCTGTGAGCAGCCCTGAGAGCTAGATGCCTGAAGACCAACTCTAGCCTTTCTTCTCATCGTTCTGCTCCTGGGGCCCTTCCAATCCATTTCTGGTTTTGCCCTGAGTCCGTGTCTGGATTCTGAGGAAGGGAAAGGCAGGAGACTGGCCTGGATCTCCTTGGGCTTATGGGAAGAGGTAAACGCCCTGAGTTAGGAAGAAATCCACATTCCCCTCTCCCTGCCCCCCATAGGAAAAATGCAAGGAAGCAGGAGGAGGGAGAAGGGTCTGGCTGAGTGAAGTAGACACATTTCACGTAAGGGAAACTTAAAATATAAAGTATAGCTAATAAACTTAAAATATAGAAACAAATGTTACTTATACCAGACCAAGATTATAATCCAAGGACACAATTTATATAAAAGTATATATAGTAAACAGTAAATAACATAATAAAAATAGTAAATAAGAAATAACAATAAACCTTTTCAGAGGTGATTCATCCTTTAATTCATTTTAATTCACCTTTAAAATGGTGTCCATTTCAATAAACTTTGTAGAATATAAACTATTCTAATTAGATAATTTCTTTTATTATTTTTTTAATTTTTATTTTTTAAGTAGGCACCACACCCAGTGTGGAGCCCAATGTGGGTCTTGAACTCACGACCCTAAGATCAAGACCTGAGCTGAGATCAAGAGTCGGATGCTTAACTGACTGAGCCACCCAGACGCCCCTAATTAGATAATTTCTCAGGAGAGCTAATTTAGTGAATTGGCCTCCAAATAGTAAGGGAATTTAATTTATCTTATGATTTCTAATTATGTTTGGAATGTTTGAAAAATATCAAGTTAAATGTGTCCTTTAATTTTGGATTATTTTAACTTTTAGGATTCTTGTTCTCCATTTGTCCAGTTATTGGGAGCATTTATAAGACTTTCAGAAAGATAAAGTTTTTTTTTTTTTTTTCACCTCTCTATAATAATAAATACTCTTGCCATTTTAAGGTTCAAGTGTCCATCTCTGTTAGTGTTTGTGTTAGCCTGTAAGAGCCTGGAGTTTATAACCTAGATTCTGGAAAGAAACTGTAGCAGTGATAGGTTGCTAAGAAAGTCTCTCAGCTAATTAAACAACGTGCCTTGAATAATTCAGAGCCTCTGTACTGCTCAGTCATACTGGATCAATTGAAAATGATGCTCATTTTTAGGTTTGTCAAAACTTAAGTTGGGACAAACTATAAGTTTAGACATCCTATTTTCTCTTTTTTTTCATCCGATTTTCTGTAATTAAAGAAAACCAGAAATAAAAAATACAATTGTATGAAAATATTCAAAAGAACCTAATGTTCAGGAACAATGGAATATTTAAATTGTGATATATCCACATGAATTACTCTATAGCCATACCAACTGCAGGTTTGTATACAATATAACAAATACTATATTTTAGTTAGGTTGGAAATCATAGCTCTCTCTTTTATACGAACCAGCAGAAATAGGTGCAGTTTAATATATTACTTTCGTAAGTGCTTTCACCCTGTTATACTTTTCAAAATAAAATTGAGACAGAAGGGAGCCTGTTTAAGATTATCCAGATTAGAATTAATTTTGCCACTTGAGTGTATTAGAAAACAAGAGCTAGACCCACAAACAAGAGTTGTAAAGCAGATTCATGGACCACGTCCCAGACTATTCAGATAATTTACTTTTCTGTTTAGAGTTACATCAGTGATTGAAAATAAAGGCTGGGAGGGGCCCCGTGAGGTGGGGGAGAGGATTAAGAGAGTATATAGGCAAGGAGCTATTTCAAGCCTGACGACTTCATTCTATTGTATATTTCCAGTTATGCTAATCCTAAAGCTCCTATAAGAATCTGTTTTCCATTTTCTACTAATTTTCATCCTCTCTATATGTTATTTTTTCATCTAGTTTTCAGAAATCTGCTTCTTGAATAGAAAATTATCTTTCTGGGGGCACCTGGGCATCATTACTCCTCAAGCTGGTTGTCTGAGAAGGCAAAAAAATCAGTATCTGACTCTTGGTTTCAGCATCTCAGGGTCATGAGATCGAGCCCCATGTTGGGCTCTGCACTCAGCGCCGAGTCTGCTTAAGACTCTCTCCCTCGCCTTTTGCAACTCACCCTCAAAATAAATAAATCTTTAAAAAAATACTCAAAGTACTTTAAAAAAAAGAAAATTATCTTTCTGTAAATACTTAGCCAAGACACACGTGATTCATATTCATGTTTAATCATATTTATTTATTATTTATTTGTTAATCCTATTCATGATTAATATTCATGTTTGGATGAAAAGTAAAATTGCTATAAAGGACAAGTCAACTAGTATTTTTAGTTAAGACCTTCGTAGCTTTATTTTATCAAATCTTATTTTTTCTCTTTGGCCATCCGATGTTTTAATTTTTACTGTAACCCTTAATTTAGCTATTGTTGGTTCTCAGACACATTTTACTACTTAGTCCCTGAAATTCCAGTGAGGTGAAAAAAACTTAAAAACATCCCGAACCATTGCTTATTAAAGACCATTCAGTCGAAATGTTGAATCTTGACTATAAAACTCCCCCGGGTGCCTCCTTGGGGTTCTAAAGGATTTGCATCATGAAGGCCCAGAGTGTGCTTTTTTTGCCTTTACCTCACTGTGCTTTTCTTTCTTGTCTTTTTATTCAGCTGGAATGCTTTCAAACTGCTAAGGCTGAGATCCTGAGGAACCCAGCTGGAGAATGCCGTCTGAACGCTGCCTGAGGTTAGCCCTCTAGGATGCTTCCTTGTTTGGTGTTGTGAGCCCTGAAATAGTCACACTGTGCATCCCAGGGCTGAGTGCAGAGCAGGGCTCAACACATATTTGAAGGAATTAAGCAAACCAGTCAGAGTGTGCGTGAGTTTGTAGCACATGGGTTAACCACTGTGATCTATTTATTGGTCATACCTACGTACATTTCATGGTTCTTTGAATGATACAACTTACTATCCTTTTCTTATTTGGGATATCTCAAAAAAAAGTATACTTTTATAAAGGTATATGATTTAAAAAAGCAGATAACTATACTTATATATGACTATCATCCTCTTCAAAGCAGTCACTTTGGGGAGTGTGATATGTATTCTCAAAACACTCATAACATTTTCTTTTAATAATTCATTTAACAGGTATTTATTGAGCCAAGCAGTGTACTTGATGCAGAGGATCCATCAGTGGATAAAACAGATAAGGTTCCTGCCCTCATAAAATGTATATTCTTTGGGGGAAACAGATAGTCAGCAAATCACATCCAGTAACAATCCAAATATAATTGTGAAAAGTGCTTTGAAGGAAAAGTACAGGGTTGATAGAATGAGGAAGCATCTTCCTGGAGAAGGCTTTGTAATCTGAGATCTGAAGCATGGAATGACTTGGGGAAATGCTCTGGGGCAGGAAGGAACTTGGTACATTCCCAAAACTGAGGGTACAGTCAATAAGAAAGTACAGGGCATTTTTTTTTTTTAATATTGTTGGTGGAGGCAAGTCTCTATCATCCTCTGAGGAAACAGTCAAAAGGATCTTCAGAGCAAAGAATAAGAGGGGTGTGAGACATAGGAAATACTTTTCTTTTTATTAATTAAGAACTGGGTATGTCTATGAAGTGATGAGACCAGCTTTCTTCCACAACTCTGAAGGTGTTAGAGTTGACCAGTTCCAAAAATATGTTTAGAAATGGAGGGAGGCCTTGAGACAGCTGGTACAGCTCTGAGTCTGTTGTTCTTCATCAGTGATTTTCAGTGGGGGACGATTTTGCTTCAGTGTACATTGTGCAGTATCTGCCGACATTTCTGGTGGACATTCCTGGGCTTGGGGGTGCTATTGACATCTAGTCAGTAGATACTAGGGATCCTGTTAAACATCTTATAATATGCAGGACAACTCCTCATAGCAAAGAACAATCTGGCCCCAAATGGCAATTTCACTGAGGTTGAGAAATCCTGTTCTAGATCAGGCATCCAGCCATAGAGATAGAGATAATTTCTGAGGAGAGAAGACCATGGTATCTGCCACCACCTCAACCAAGTGGTTTATTTCTGGCTACTGGGACCTATGTGCATTTCTCTCAAAATTATTTTTACTTTAAATCTGCCATCTCTGCTTTTATTGATCAATTCTGATCCCATCGCCATCTGTCCTCCACTGCACCATCATCTCTATAATGGTCTTTCCTTCTCTGCTGTGAGGCAGACTTCTCCCGTCCCCACCTTTCAAACTTCCTTTGTGCCCTGAGGAACTGTTGCACCATGATTGTATGCTCTGCTGTATCATCTCCATCACCCTGAAAGGCTCTTCTCACCTGCTGACTTCATTGAGACCTGTCCTCTCCTGAGGCACCACTTCTCTTGTCACCCTGCCAAATGTGACATTATTATCTCCTCACATCTCATGTATTTGGGGTCTGGGTAGAGGAGATTGTTGTCGCCTGGGACATAGTTTTGCTTCTCCATCATTACTCCTCAAGCTGGTTGTCTTAGAAGGCAACAGTAACAAAATACAACGAAGACATCCTCATTCTGGTGCTCTTCAATTCTTCCCCCCTCTCTCCTCTCCACTGTTGTCAGGGTCATTTCCCCTCATTTGCTGAGCATCTGGCATCCCACTTACAGTGTTCTTCCTCATCACAAACCCTTTACAATTTCCCAGCGTCCTCAATGTTTGCATGGAGAATCTGTCCAACTTGGTGACCTGGGATCTTCAACCTGCTTATCTCCAGAAACTGTCTCCTTCCGCTGAGCGATCCACTCCCACAGTCACCCCTTGGACCTTGAACCCCCAGTAGTTGCTCTGTTTCTGATCACCATATCAGCCACTTTACTCTTACCAGGACCTCCTCTCTGTCTAGCCTGCTGGTTTACCTTCCCCCCCACCCCTGGGGTTGTACTTTGACCTCTTTGCAATGTCTCATCTACTGGCCCTGCTACTTTCTACCAACCCATCATCCCTTTCTTTCCCTCATTTCCCTTCTTATCCAGTTTAGATTCTGCGACTCTTTTTGAATCCTTAATTTCTCTTGCTTCCTGCATTTTTGATGCATTTGCCTGACAATATCCCAACCCAGATGAACCCAGATATCCTTGTTTCCATGGCTACATCGTCCAGCAGAGATTGGATCCACCAAATTTTTATATTCAACGAACCAAAAAAAAAATGCTAAGAGCTTAATATGTGTTTCTGGTCTACCTGCTCCCTCCCTCCTACTACTCAAAGGGCAGTCCTTTCCCACCACTGAGCCCAGCCATCCTTCTGTATTTTGAATACTATCTTTCTTCTCAGCCCCCTTTGACTGTTGATTGTCTCTGCACTGTCTTCTGGAGACACAGGTATGCTTCTCCTGTGGATGAGTCTGAGGTTTACCACTCTAGCTGAGTGTCTTTCTGAGCTCCAGACCTTGCACCTGGCCCTCCCTTGTCCTCAGGGTTTGAACAATTAACATTCTGTGTGAGGGCCATGTTCCTTCCTACCTCGGGATCACTTGCTCTTCCCCATCTGGAAAACTCTTCTCTCCCCTTTTGCCACAGGAACTCGTTCTCATCCTTCGCCCCTCAGCTCCAGCATTACTTCCTCTGGGAGGACAGATTATTTGACGAGTGTGTAACTGCCTCGCTAAACTGAATGTTCCACAGGGGTTGCTACCAAGTTTGGTTTGTTCACCATTTGATCTCCAGTATCTAGCACAGTACCTGGCATAGGATAAGTAAATGTTTGTTGAGTGAATGAATGAAGGGAGGAATGAAACAAAACTATTCATTTATCATTAAGTTCCTTTCTGTATAATTAAAGACTTCTTAATCATTCTCTAAGCATATTGTGTCCTCTTTGCTTACTATTTTGACCATTGCTATTAATTGTTTGGCATTCATTTTAAGGTATGTACAAATTTTAAAGTGTTCTATAGGGGCACCTGGGTGGCTCCGTCATTAAGCGTCTGCCTTCGGCTCAGGTCATGATCCCAGGGTCCTGGGATTGAGCCCCACATCAGGGTCCCTGCTCAGTGGGAAGCCTGCTTCTCCCTTTTCCACTCCCCCTGCTTGTGTTCCCTCTTTGGCTGTCTCTCTGTGTCAAATAAATAAAATCTTTAAAAAAAAAAAATCCTTTTAAAAAAATAAGTGAAGTGTTCTATAAAAAAGAAAATTGAGTTCCATTATGGGGTTAACAGCCTGCCCACTTAAATAATAGGGCTGTTTGAATATTAATGTTTTTAATTTGTATAGAAATATTTTGACTGTGGAATTGAAGTGACTAGGGCACTCACCTGATAATTCATTGGTATATTGAACTGAGATAATCATGAATAATCCTTGTACTGTCAGGTTTGTTCTGTTCAGTCTTTTCTTTCTTGTGTAGTCTATTTGAGAAATGCCTGCGTTTGATTTATAATTTTCAATGCCTTATTGGTGGCCTTACTTGAAAACGACTTGCATATATTTTGTATATCTAAGTAGTAGGTAAACACTGATACAGAAATTGACTTGAATTTTAAAATTTGAAATGCAGGTGTTTAAAAACCAGATAGCTGTTTCGGAATTTCCATCTTAAAAACTGACTAAACTCAGTCAAAATTTACTGTATGTAAATGGGACCCTGTGAGATTTCTGTGATCAAAAACATTAACTCTATAAACTAGAAGGAGTGATTTGCACTCTGGCCGAGCTTCACTCAGAGTAGGGGGTGTACTGGGTTAGGGACATTGTGCTCTGCATTTGATTTTTTTAGTTTATGCCATCAATTCCAGAATGAAAGTTAAAGACTTGAAGTCATGAAGAGTCCTGATCCCTTAGAGCTCATTTATTTATCTCCCTGTTACTGAACGCTGACATATGGCCAATCAAATGCTCCCTGGCATCACGAAAAAGCAATCTGCTGCTCAGAGAGTCTCGGGCTTCCCATGTTGTACCGGCAGAGGCTGTGTCCCGTGAGACGCGGGAACAGCCATGCTCCTCGGCAGCCTAAGGGGCTACCCGAAGCCCTTATAGAGTTCAGGTGGAAAGGAATGAGGGACAGGTCCCCCTGGGAACTTGTACACTGTCTGATACAACCATAATGTGAACCATATGTGTAATTAAAAATTCTCAAGTAGTTACATTTTTAAAAAAGTACAAGGAAACAGGTAAAATGAATTTAACCATATAATTTATTTAACCCAGAATACCACAAATATTTTTATTTTACCATGGAATCAGTACAAAAATATTAATGAGATACTTTGCATTCTTTTTTCATACTACATCTGACATCAAGTGCATGAGTGCATTTTATGCTTACAACACATCTCAATTTGGATTACCCCCATTTCAGGTGGCCAATATCCACCTGTAGCTATTGGTATTGTATTGGATGGTGTAGTTCTAGGGTATCCCTCAGAGGAAAGACTATTGGGGAAGCTAGGTCACCTTCTGCCCTTACCTGTGAGTTTTAAGGTGGCAACATTGCTTCCACAGATGATCTTTCCCAATTTTAGGATGACACTCAAATCCGTATACCCTTGGGAAATATGCTTCATGTTTTTATGTTTGGTTTTTTTTTTCCAGTAATTTAGGAAGTTTTAGGAATATCCTTTTCCTCCCTTCTTCATTGTTTCCCAAATAATGGAGGGACATTGCTGGGAAGTTGAGTGTGTTGATTTGCTATAAATTATAATGTCAACGGGGCCATTTGCAAGCATGTATTTGTTCCTCACCTTAATTTAGACACGGTCCTTTATAGTCTCTGATTCACCTCCTCCCTTGTTTATGACCATTGCCCTCATCAGATGGGCCTGCCACTTTCCAGCTGTGTGCCATGGTCACACATGCTTTAACATTTAGAGGGTTGAAGTCTTTTGCAGATTTACATCTGAGAGTTGAGCGGGAAGTTACTTTCAGAATACAATAAAGACTTGTTGATTAATCGGCCTTTATTTCTTGCCAAATGTTGGAGTATTTGTTTCTTCTTTTAAAGATTCCTAACATATTGGTTCCAAAATATTTGGGATCTTGTGCCAAGTGTTGCCTTAAATATTTAGCATGTTGTTTTCTTGAAGCTTGAATATTTCAAGCCCAGCTGAATGATCCTGTGAAATTGTGCAGCATCACCATTGTTTCAGAGCTGAGCCCTTTATTCCTTGCCAAATTTCAGTTTATAGCTGCTCTTTCCCTGGTGAGATTTATTCGCTGTCAATAGATACCTGAAATGCAAATACTGATTCAGTCTTGATAATAAGGACACGAATCGTGGCACTATATTTGGAAAATGAGTAAGGAAACACTTTAAGGCAATTATTTTAACATATTCTACTGTTCCACTAAAAATGAAATTTTAAAATACATTTATTTAGCATTTAAGGTGATATTAAAAGAGAGAAAAGTAATGAGTGTTTCAAATAAATTTGCAATGAGTGTTTCAAATAAATGAATGATAATTAGAATCTGGTTTTCTATACCCAAACTTATCTTAGTTGCAGTGCAAAGATAAATATTTTTGAAGCCTGATTTCAGATATTTCTTATCACTATCTCATGTTATTATCTTCTATGTATTCTTTTTAAAAGGCAGCTTTGATTTTGGGATAACTATGCATACTATAAATACACAGTTAATATGGACTTTCTGACTTTTTCCCCCCACAATCAGAGATTTTTAAGATCTTCTTCACAGTTTATCATTGTGTTTTGTTTTGTCTTTTTTGTTTTGTTTTTTTTTTTTTAAGCAGGAAGGGAAATTACATTATTGTGTTCTTGGTGATAGGTTCCCAAAATGCCTGATCTTGGACCTTTAGTTTTCTTATCTGTAGAACAGAGATAAGAATAGTGCCTGCCTCATAGGGTTGTTAGGATGATTATTAATGAATTAATAATTATAAATCACTAAGAATACTTCATGGAACATGGGAAGACTGTTTGTGAAATATATAAAAATGTCATCCTTCTAAGAAAGATTTTTCAAAAACTATCCTAAAGCTTTACTTTAGCTGGTATGTTATTTCTGTTACTATTCTATTCCCTTATTTCTTTAATTGAGGGATGCTAATTAGTCTCCCTTTCAGGCTTTGCATAGAAATTTGTATTAAAAAGTTACTTATGCTTCCGAATGTGCTTTTCAGTTACTGATTTTAAATGTCTGAGGATAGCTGGAGCTGCTAGATGAATATTAGATGACAGTAACCATTTCAAAACTCACTGCTGAGTTTCAACTGAAAATAATCCTCCCACCTTCCCACGAGAACTTCCCATATCATCACCTCCTGTCAAGTTTTTTTTTTTTCTTTCAATAGTTCTGATATTTCTGAGGCTCCCCAGTCATAAATGTCCAGTAAAGCTTATGGGGCTGTACTCTGCGTTTCCCGGGAAGCATTTGGTTCCATGTAAGGTTGCGGTCTGGGTTGAAGGGCAGTTCACCAGCCATCTGGCACCACCGGCTGGGCAGAGCTTTGTTAAATACACTAACCATGCAGACTAGGCCAATGGTGACTCCCTGGCTCCCGTGAGCGGCTCTTTCACATTGAGAGGGAAGAACTGAATGCAGAAGTTGTCAGGATAGGAGAGACGATGATCAGTCATCGCCATGGTATCTTCCCTCAGCCTTTAGAAGAGTCCAGAGGCCAGAAACAGGGCTTGATGGCCCTTGTTCTCATTCTGGGAGTAACTTGTGACTGGTGCAGCTCACCCATCCTGGTCTGATGCCAGTTCTGAGATTTTGGAGCGCTATGGAGACTCTATTCATAGATCTAGGCTGGAGTTGTTCATAGCTAACAACACATTCAGTGTGCATTATGTGTTTATGGCATCACTTCCACATTATTTTGGCAAGATCTGGGGTTTCACTTAGGAATTCTAAAAGGACATAGGATGAATGTTTTAAAATGGGCTAAGGAGTGAAGGGCTAAATTTCACAATGAGTAAATTTAGCAATTTCAAAAAACAGAATAGAAAATAAAATTGTATAGTCATTCCTAAATGTAATACAATGACCACATGCAGAGATTGAAGGCTGATAATATAGATATATTTTACTTTCAGCCTTAGATCTTTTTTTAATTTTATTTTATTATGTTATGTTAACCACCATACATTACATCATTAGTTTTTGATGTAGTGTTCCATGATTCATTGTTTGCGTATAACACGCAGTGCTCCATTCAATACGTGCCCTCTTTAATACCCATCACCAGGCTAGCCCATCCCCCCACGCCCCTCTCCTCTAGAACCCTCAGTTTGTTT